CCCCCCCCCCCCCCCCCCCCCATAAGCCCAAATGCTCAATTCAAAATCCAAAAATTACTCCCCATCCCACTTTCCAAGCAAAATGGGTCACATTCTAATTGGGAAGCAGAAATCTATTGCACAGTTAATTGACTTGCTTCCTAATTCATGAAATCTGTCCCCAAGAAAACAGTGTGTGTGAAAACATGGCTCTGTCCTGTCTTGCCCTCTTTTAGTAAAAAGGCTCACCTTAACTGGATGTATTAAAATAGAGAACACAGAAGACTAAGCAATCCCATTCTCATTTCCTCTGCCAAGCAATTTCTTACCATTTAAACAGGGCTGTGGGCCCTGTTTCAAATATCAATATTTAAAACAAAAATAAAACAAAACAAAAACCAAAAAGCCAAAACCAAAAAAAACCTCCACATCTCAAAATAGTAATTTAGTTCATATTCAAGTAGACTTCGGTGTCTTCCACTCTCCTGCCTTCAGAATAACACTGGATCAGGGCGAATACTGGTGAGGTCATCACTGTATTAGACTTAGCTAAACCAATCAATTTACTAAGCAAAGCACTACAGAGTGACCTGGAGGGAACCCTCATGTTCTGGAGTGACAGATGACCAGCAGGATCTCCCATCTTGGTCTGCTTTAGCATATTACAGTTTTGTTTTTCTCACTATCAAAAATTTTCATGGAAATTCATCAGCTTTGACATATTTTTGGGTTCTGATTTCTTATGTGTTATGAATGGCATTTCTAGATGAGGGGAGATCCCAGGGTAGTGAGACTAATAAAAACATTTTTTATTTCCTCTAATGAAAAGCAGAAGAGTTGTATGTATCTATACATACATGCATGTCTTGGAAAGTGTTTTCCTGCAATACCTGTTCAGAATAACCAAGGTAGGGTCCTGCCAAGGGAAGGGACACAGATGGGAACCTGTCAGTCCTGAGGCTGGAATTTGCTCTGTCAAATTAGGGTCTCTCCACTGCAATAGCTGGCCTTGCTTTGGATGCATAACCTTCTTGCTGAACTACCAGAGGTATTTTTTGGTTTTGTAGTATCAAAAACCTCTGCATTTTCGAAAACGGATAAAGCAACAGAGTAGGTACTGAAAAGGTAGATGTGCAAGAGACAGCTAAAGTTGATGTCAGTGACTGTGCTCTTACTGAGAGGTGCTCGTTTCTGAGCGATGTGAGAAATGCACTTATTCAAGAGTGTAAGAAATGCTGGCAGATGTAAATTGCAACAGTTATTATATTTATACTTACAAATTAAGTTTGATAGCCAGAGAATATACATGCACTCACCAAAATAAACCTGTTCTACTATGTTCTATTTGCCATACACACTGCAGAGGCTCTCCCTCAGTGGGAGTGGGCACTGCATGGATCTCTCATGCCAGAAAGATGCTCCCTGCAGACATTCTATCCCCATGCCATTCAAGCATTCCTAGAACTTCAAGGGTATATTTTTTTTTCCCACACCAAAATCCAAAGAGGAGCAGTCTTGAAACTGGGAAAACCCACTGCACTAACAGAGAAAGGGAGGAGAATAATGTACTTTAATTCCCAGTCAGCTGAGGTGATCGAACTGCCAGTACTCAGCTGCGTGCCCCCTCCTGATCTTTTCAATGTCTGCCTGGAAGATAAGAGCAAACCC